AAATTTAGTAGAGAGAATAAGGTAGTGTTAATGGTTGTGCTAGAAAATAGAGTCAAGGAGCCAAATGCTGACTCAATAATAAAGAAGGTATTTAGTACTTGGAAATGCATAGTAAATTATGATGTTGCTCCAGGAGGTGGAATATGGGTAGTGTGGGATCAGACAAAGGTGGACTTTGAGGTATATCAAACATATAAACAATATATTGTAGGGCAGGTGACTATAATCCAGAGTAGCACCAAGTTTAACTTTGGAGTTGTATATGGAATGCATACTATACAAGACAGGAAGGCATTATGGGAAGATCTGAGGGGAGCCATATATGGAATCAGTGGTCCTAGTGTAATAATGGGAGACTTTAACACTATCCTATCTAGTGAGGATAGAGTGCATGGGAATGTAGTACAAGAGTTTGAGGTGAGAGACTTCAAAGAGTTCATATTGGATGTTGGACTAGCTGAACTAAGAACCGTGGGTAGAAAGTATACTTGGACAAACAACCATGTCCACAGTAAAATTGATAGAATCCTTGTTAATGCAGAATGGATCCAAAATTGGCCTACAATGGAGGGGAGTATTTTGAAGCCTGGTTTCTATGATCACTGCCCTTTGAGCATAACCTTTGATGACAATAACCAAGCTAGAAGTAGACCTTTCAAGTTCTTAAATTGTCTGGCACAACATAAGGAGTTTGAGGATAAAGTGAAGCAGTGTTGGATAAAGGGGAGCAAAGGAAATGCAATGTTTAAGGTTTGGAATAAGCTCAAATTGCTAAAGGTGGAGATGAAACAGTTGAATAGTCAAGAGTTCAACAACATTGGGCACAAAATTCAAGCAGCAAGATCTAAATTGGAAGGTATACAAGATCAAATGGTAGGACCAAGGAATGACAGTGAAATAGTAGCTCAAGAAAAAGTTATAAAACTGGAATTGGCTAAGTGGCTAGAGGTTGAGGAGAGTATATTAAAGTAGAAATCAAGAATTAAATGGCCCAAGTTAGGAGATTCAAATACATCATACTTCCATGCTTGCATAAAAAACAGGCAAGCAACAAATCATATTGGCAGATTAGTTGACAGTACAAGGCAACTACTTCAGAGTCCAAATGAAGTGGAACTAGAGATTCTAAACTTCTACAAGATGTTACTTGGTACATCAGCGTCACAATTACCAGCAGTCAACACAGAAGTCATGCAGAAGGGATATATGTTGAGTAGGCAACAACAACTACAGCTAATCAGAACTGTCAGAAGAGAAGAAGTCAAGCAAGCAATACAGGACATTGATGACAACAAAGTACCAGGATGTGATGGCTATAATTCTTTCTTCTTTAAGACATGGCATATACTGGGTGAGGAGGTTACTGAAGTAGTGATGGATTTCTTTAAAAGTGCTGAAATGTGTAAACCTATTAATTATACCACCATTACTTTGATCCCTAAAGAAAAGAACCCAAATAGCATAAAGGAGTTTAGACCTATATCTTGCTGTACAGTGTTCTATAAGATAATATCAAAGATTCTAACAACAAGACTGCAGGTAGTCATGCCACACCTTATTGACAATTGTCAAACAGCTTTTGTTCCAGGAAGGTTGATCACAGACAACATCAATATGATTCATGAATTGGTTAAAAGTTATGGGAGGAAGAATATCTCACCAAGGTGCATGCTAAAGATTGATATGAAAAAAGCCTATGATTCTGTGGAATGGGTATATCTTGAACAGGTGATGAGAATGCTGAGAGATCTAGAAAAGTTTGTAAAGTGGATAATGGTATGTATTAGCACAGTCTCTTATTCTGGCATAATTAATGGTAAGCCAACCAAGCCCTTTGAAGCAAGGAAAGGACTTAGACAGGGGGATCCTCTATCACCATTGCTATTTGTGATGGCCATGGAGTACCTATGCAGACTAATGAAGCAATTGAGGGACAATAAGGAATTAAAATTTTACCCAAGATGTTCTAAAGTCAATCTAGTACAATTGGGATTTGCTGATGACTTATTGCTTTACTGTAAGGGAGACATACAGTCTGTCAAGGTCCTGCACAAGCAATTTCAAACTTTCTCTGCAGCATCAGGATTAATTGCAAATTCAAATAAAAGTTGTATCTATTTTGGAGGAGTGGACAATCGAACACAGCAACATATTATGGAAATGTTAGGATACACTAAAGGAGAACTACCTTTTAGGTACTTTGGTGTTCCTTTGAGTACAAAGAGGCTGACAGCAATGCAATGTGAACCCATAATTGATAGAATGCTAAGAAGGATACAGTGCTGGACAACAAAGTTTCTATCATATGAAGGTAGAGCAATACTAATACTAATCAAGAGTATGTTAGTGGCAATTCAAAATTTTTGGGCTCAAATCTTCATACTACCAAAAAAGATCATACAGTCTATAGAAACAATATGCAAGATATTTCTATGGTCGGGCAGTGCTGAACCAACTAAGAAGGCAATTGATTGCTTGGGATAAATTATGTGCTCCAAAGGCAGCAGGAGGGCTAAATTTCATCAATGTGAAATTGTGGAATAAAGCAGCCATATGCAAGCATCTATGGAACATTTGCACAAAGAAGGAAACACTGTGGGTTCAATGGATACATGCTTACCATATAAAAGGGAATACTATATGGAACACTGAGCTAAAGAGTGCATCGTGGGTTATCCAAAAGATCTTCAAAGCCAAAAGACAGTTTGAAGAGGCTGGTTATTCAGAAGAAGAAGTGACTCGAATAGAAAAGTTCTCTATAAAGCACATATATAAAGCATTGCAAGGGAATTTTCAAAAGGTGTCCTGGAGGAAGATAGTCTGCAATAACAATGGACTTCCAAAGTGGATATTCATCTTAAGGTTGGCACTACAAGATAGACTAGCTGCCAAAGAAACGCTAGCAAGATGGGGAATAATAGAAGACACAACATGCTCACTTTGTCAAAGAGAGAATGAAACAATACAACACTTGTTTTTTGAATGTGAACTGTAAGATGTTGTATGGTAGAAGCTTCTACATTGGCAAGGAATGAAAAGAAGGAAGAAAGAATGGCAGGAAGAAATATAGTGGATAGAGAAGGTGGCCAAAGGGAAGAGTGCAGGAGCAGCAATATGCAGAATGGTGTTAGCTGCAGTAGTCTATCATATCTGGCAAGCAAGAAATATTACCATTTTCCAAAAGAAGAAGAGTATTGCAAATGCTATGGTTAGATCGATCATCCAAGAGATACACATTAGAGCCCAGCAGTTTTCGAAACTTGATAGCTATTTGATTAATATGAATTGGTATCCAGATTGAGTTTAAGTGTAGAGGCAATAGGAGAACATGAAGTAAGATAGAAAATCTCCTAGTTGGGGCTTCATGTCCAGCAGGAGTTCTGTTAGGCAGATTAAATTTTGTAAAATGTAAATATTGCTACTTGGTAAATAAAGTCTTTAATTACCAAAAAAAAATATATAGTTAGACAAATCAAATAATTTTTTTTAAAACCTTTTTCATATAAAAAAATTCCTCAATATATTTTTCTTTAAAAAAGATAAAGTGATGGTTTGGTTATGAGAGTATTTTTGTAAACAAACAATTCTTTTAGAAATTGTGCAATGCTTTAATATATCAAACCAAACAATGGACAAGAAATATGTCAACATAACTAATGCAAGCATAACAAATATCAACATTAGTAATACACCATAATCAGCATTATGCTTATGCACCCTACCCTAACTATTAAAGTTAAATTATTAGAGTTGGAACTCTTTACCCAAGTAACACCTATTAGTTCTATAATTTTTGTGTCCTTTATCTTTCCGTAGACTTCAATCGAATATTCGCAGTAGCGTAAAATCTGGTTGCTAGAAGGGACAAAGTACAAACTATTAAGCATTAGTTGATTTGGGGCTCTGATTATTCTAAAACGTAAGAATAGAATTTCTAATGCAGTCAAATTTGGGTTTCTCCTTTTCAGAAAAAAAAAAAAATGGATGGTCGATTTTAAGTCCTCGATCTTTGTTTCATTGGAATAGGGAGATTAACAACCTTACATGGAAAGGTTGATGTGATGAGATTGGCAGGTCCTACCTACTTGATTTTATTTGGACAATTGAGGGATGCCAACGTTTTCCTTTTGACATGCCAAAAAGATGCTGAAGCAATTTGGCAATTAACCAAACGTAAGAATTTATTCCTCTTTTGTTTTTGCTTAATCATCCAGTATCTGAAGATCCTTTTGTTTTTGCTTAATCATCCAGTATTATCTGGTCTAACTAATCTAAATTCGCGTTAATTAAAGCCCACTGACGGGATAAGCGTTCTTCATTCGGTTATATTTATCTATCTCACCACAACCGTCAATGTTAATGCGCAAAAGATCTACCACTCTAATCAAGAAAAGGTGAGCACATACATATCACATTAATCCAGTTTCAGGTTAACGGCTTGAATTCAATAATGGCCCATGAAATTTTCAGAAATAATGTCGTCACTCATGAGCCACTCAACTGCTTGTAACACACCCCATGACAAACGACCACCAGACTACAGTTGTAATCATATTTCCTTTTCTTTGTTTCTTCCTCAACTGTTACAGCTGAGATTGCAAAACATCTACAACCACAACATTGAGGGCATACATCGCGGTGTGTGTGTATATCAAAGGTGAAAACTAGGTGTACATATGTCTTAGGACAAGCCCACACGTTCGATGTTTGCACTAAACCAGTTTTTTCCTTAAGAGGAACAATAGTCACAAATTCAAGCATTAGTTAATCATGGTCAAGTGATAAAATTTTGCTTTAAAAAGGAATAACATGCATTCTATTGGTCTCGTTCAAACGCCTGCAGCAGGTAACTTTTTCCTCATCAAGCATTGACATATGGGAGATACGTGACAAGTAATGTCAGGCAAACAGTACATTTAGCCAAAACAGCAGTGTTAAGAATAAGGCTAGCTACTCTTCGGCCTCGGAATAAGTAAGCATTTAGTCTTGGGAATCACCAATTTCTATGTAGAGAAGAAGGTTTCATTTCATAAATCTGCACTTCCTCGTGTCAAAAACATCACAAGAACTTCGCAATAAAAGCTGTAACAGACAATCATGGCACTTGGCCTGAATTTCAATAATCTTCCTCTTTTTAGTATTGAGAAACTAATGTACTTCCCTACCAAAATTGAGTTGATGCCACGGTCCTATATGAGGTAAGTAGAAGAAACCCACAAAAGTACATACGTAATCAATGAAGTTGTCACCTCCAAACTCGTTGGCCCTTTAAGTATCGGAGGAATCACAGACACCATCAAGAATGTCCCGAAAATCCAAGAGAAAATAAAAGCACCAGCTCTGCACCACAATAAAATCCAGAAACAATTTAGCAATAAAAACGAGAACATCTCGACTATCAAATAGTAAGCAATATATGTAAGAAGTCTATGAATTGAAGAACTCGAGACTTAATTCAATGACTAACTTTAGTGACTACAACTAATTTTGAGCAAGTGCTTTATTAAGCTATACATATCTGATACTAGTACTAGATTCAAGTATGAAGAGGATGGAAGACCGTGTATGTTCAATTTCTTCTGCAAGTATCTAGAGTATTTTGAAGAACTTAAAAATTACCATTCCCATTCTCCGACACATTTGACATGAATACATCAAGGTCATCTTAAGAGACTATGTAACATAGGTATCAAAATTCAGTTTTCTTTGTCAAGTGAGAGGACCATTAAAAAGCATACCCATATAGAAAAGCTCGAAGTTTGCTCTTTAACCGATCATGAATGAAATATATGGCGGTGATCAGGGAAATGGCAACTTGAAGCGTTGGACCTTCTTCAGTAGGAAAGAGAACTGTGAGAGCTCCAAGGACTATGAAAGCGATAGAAGTTTTCACAATGAAATTTGTAGCTGGTGTTCTGAACCTGCTAGTGACAGCCTGCATAACACGAGATTGTTTTATGTCCCTGACTTTCTTCTTAAAGTCAATTTTTGGGTTTTTCCTATCATAGAATTGCTGCATTATTATTTTATCATGAGCTGCTTCAATTGCATCCACACTTGGTTTATGACCAGCATATCTTTGTATTAAGAAGTTCCTAGCAGCTTGGATTTCATCCTCCGAAGCTTCCCTGCTAATACCAAGTCGTTTGTATGGGTCCCCAACATTGATTCTCGGAAAGATAGCTGCTATGGATAAGCAATACACAGGTCACAGAGAGAACAAAATGTATAAACAAAGCAACTACAAAAGCAAATGTAATAGAAACCTGGATTATTGAACTGAAAGACAATTAAGAAGCCGAAGCAGATGCAAATGCAGTATGAAAAGAAAAAAACCGTAGAAAGTAATAGCAGGGTCCCTGCTGTTGCGTGCGTATGAAAAGTCACAAAGACTTTAGAACTCGCAAGAAGCTATAATTATATAATGTCTTGGAACGCACTAAAGAAAAGGTTAAGAGGCAACTATTTCTTTCTGATATTCATTGATGATGTTTGCATCAGTCCAAAGAACTCCTGTTAGAACCAACTCCAGGAGAAAAGTTTATCTATTTAAGATGATACATTACACTTTCTGAAGGTGTCATTCTGTAATTAGAGGAGTGATGTCAATTTTGAGTCCAACTACAAAGCCATCTAGTACAGAAATCTTCAAACTTGAGTTTTTTCCAAAATTGACTATGTCTATTGATGTAATGCATCTAAGGAGATAACCGTGGCTATAAGCACAGCGTCTTAATCTGCTAAAAAATGTTATCAAAACTCAATGGACCCATCATAAACAAAAGAAAGAAAAAGACGCAAATACATATAAGATATGAAAGACTTGTTTATCAAGATTCCATCTTCTTCTCCTGATTCTATATCACTGATGATAATCCGATGGACAGCTTATTTTGCTTTCATTACATCTTTCAACAGAAAGACACCTAAAGGAATGGCAATAAAGTTCTTGAGCCCAAAAAAAAAAAAAAAGGAATGATGCCCAAAAAAGGGGAAGAAAGTCATCACAAGTCAACCTCAGAAAAGCAGTTTATATGCATCTCAAAAGCCAAGTAATTCAAGCATAACTTCTGCAAACTGCGAAGAAGCTAAATGAGAAGAGCCGTCAAAATTACCAGCAGAATTATCTGCAGAATCACCAAAAGAAGCTTCCATTGCACACTTGACTAAGGGTATTCTTCTTAGGGCATATTTCTGTGTGGAACCAGTCCAGGGACTTCTCCAATATGAACAAACAAACGAAAACAATTAATCACGATACATTCTACATATGAGTCAACTCCTATAATTAGTAAACTTATCACAACCATTCTTGATAGAGCATATACCTTGATCTCCCTAAGTTAGAAGCTGAAACTCTCTTCGCAGGCAATCTTGGACATTGTACAGGTAAATGAAGACAGTATTTTATTGGACTAGCAGCTAATCCTGATGTTGTCATTGTAGCCCACCTTGGTATTTGTTGACAAACTACAAAACTGCATATAATTTGAGTAAGAATAAATAGAAGTGCCAACTAGAACAAATCTTCCTAGACAATAGCAAGTGATGTATGTAATTAAAATGTTCGAAGCAGATTCTTTGCAAAGAATCAAATCCTACAAAGAAAAAGAATAATTTCCGATGTTGCATACTGAGGAAGAAAGCTCAACACTTCAAACAGAAGTGTTTAGTGAAGCATTAGCATGAAACTCCGTACAGCCAGAAGCACATGTAGGGAGGAAAAGAAAAGGGAAGAAGATAGAAACTGTGGAAAGCAGTCAAATGCGTAGTTCACATACAGGTAACCTGCAATCCAAACGTTACTTATACAACGTTTCATTCAGCATATTCTACTAACTAAAATATCTGAGAGCACTGTCCCAACTGCAGTAATACCATCCCAGAAAGCATCAATCATATGAGAACCGGGGAGGAAGTAGAACTATAATTTGGTTTACCACTACACTGGCTTCATACCATACCACTTTACTACAACAAGAACAAAAAATCCAGTTTAATCTCATAAGTGGGGTCTAGGGAGGGTAGTGTGAACGCAGACCTTACCCCTACCCTATAAAGGTAGAGAGGATACCATACCACTTTACTGGTAAGGGAAAAGCCTTATTCTAAACTAAGAAAATAGAATAGATAATCGATTTTCCGCTTGTTCGTAAAGCTCTCGAGTAGCTCTTTCAACTGCCGCCTAATCAACCAACATGCTTTGGTCGAAGAAAAACAAGGGGCAACAAGCTCTCAACTCCTAGTCATTAAGAAGTTAGTTCTATCTCCCCCCCCCCCCCCCCCGAGGGAGGGACGCCACCAAATAGGTTCGTTCTCTCACGTAAATTTTCTCTCCCATTAGAAATGGGATTTGAACCCATGATACAATCTTCTTGTATGTCCATTTAGCAAATCAATTCATTATTGGCTTTCCTTTTTTACAAGTCCATACTAAAACACATCTCAAAAAAGTCCATACTAAAACAAGTAGCAGTATGATACTTATACGGTTGTGAGGTTTTGTTGTCCAATGACACAATGGGAGTTTGACAACTGAACATTCTGATTATTCATGTTTTCTTTTTGATAACCGTGGTGTCTAGTCCAACTTGCGCGCCTCGACTAATTAAATGGGATACCTACTTCCTCCCACCAACTACAGGTACCAGGTAACTCTATCCAAGATAGATGAGAAGAAATCACCTAGTATTTTTGTCTTCACTAGGATTCACGGGCTAAACCTGAGACCCTCATGGTTCTCAACCCACTTCATTAAACCACTAGACCACACCCTTGGTTCACTTTTCTTCAATTATTATGTTTTTCTTCATCTATATTGAGAAAGAACCATGCCTACTGACTAGTGACAACTGAGCAGTTCCTGACTGCTGTTCTTACTTCAGGTACTCAATTTTTCATTTTGGATATATGAAGCTTTTTTCAGCTCCCATGACTATAGCACATTCAACAAGTACAATAGTTCTACAACATATATTAAACCCCACTACCCGAAATTCGCTAAAGATCAAATCTTTTAACTGATTGGAGCTATTTTAACGAATTGAAAAGAAAAAACAAATGGGTAACATAGAAGTAAGCTTAGAAAATCCTACCTGGTGATTAAACGCTTTGCTGTGTTCTTCTTGTTCTTGTAGTATGAAAATCTATGGCAGCTAATTCTTTAGGCTACAGGCATTTGAAGTATATTTCGAGTTCCCCAATGGATAGGAGCAGAATGAAACAGCTATTGTATTGTTGAACCAGAGATTGAGGGTTTTGAGAGCATCTCTTGTTTTTTCATGTGACTTTGATTATATTAATAATGTTACCGCGTATCTTTAACAAATCCGTTGTAGTCTAGGTGGCTATAATACTCGGCTCTCACCTGAGAGACCCGGGTTCAAGTCCCGGCAACGGAATGCTCTTTTTCGTTTTTTAAAAAATTAAAAAATAATTATGTATTCATCTTATGAAAACACGAAATCGTTCATTTTAAAAGACCAAGTAAAACGCTACTATTAGGAGCTTGTCAAATCAAGCAAAAGAAAATAATATGTATGTGAAAAAGAACCATGCCTACTGACTAGAGGAAAATGAGTTCATGAGAAAATATTTTCCCTTCTCGATAGGGAAAATATTTTTCTCCAACTAGAGGAAAATGAGTTCATGAGAAAATATTTTTCCAAAACCTTAAGTCAACCAAACATGAGAAAATTTGCTGAAGTTTAGAGATTGAATGCACCAGAAAACCCTAGATGCGAGGGAGAAGAGAGAAGAAGAAAGGAAGAAAGGAAATGAATGAAATAGTAAACTCTCAATATCTTCGTTTCAGTCTTTACATTGATATATATATATATATATATATATATATATATATATATATATATATATATANTAAAAAAATACCACATGGCATAATTGGTTACTAATTAGTTATTTAGTTTATAATTACTTATTGGTTACTTATTTTTGAATTTAAATACATATCAGAAAAGAAAATAATAAAAAACTACCATATATATTAATTGGTTACTTTATTTGAATTAATAAATATAGATATCTTATAATTAAATATAATAAAAAAAAACGAAAAAATAAATATATAAAAAATAACTACCCATTCAAATTGGGTGGGAGTAGTTTCAAGTTTGAGTTTTAAATTATTCTAAAATAAAAAACGAAATTAAAAAAATAATGAATTACCAAATTCAAATTGGGGAGTAATTTCAAATTGGAGTTTTAAAAATTATTTAAAATAAAAAAAATGAAAATATTATTATATATAATATACATATAAAAACGAAAATAATAAAATAAAATAAAAAACTAACATATATATATATAATATTATATATATATATATATATATATATATATATATTAACTGGTTAATTTATTTGGATTTAATAAATATATATAATATCTTATAATTAAATATAATAAAAAAATAACAAAAAAATAAATATATAAAAAATATCTACCCATTCAAATTGGGTGGAGTAGTTTCAAGTTGGAGTCTTAAAATAAAAAACGAAATTAAAAAAATAATGAATTACCAATTCAAATTGGGGAGTAGTTTCAAATTGGAGTTTTAAAATTATTTTGAAATAAAAAAACGATAAAATCTATTTATATGTAATATACATATAGAAAACGAAAAAATAAATAAAATAAAAAACTAACCATATATATATATATATATATATATATATATATATATATATATATTAATTGGTTACTTTATTTGAATTAATAAACATAGATATCTCATAATTAACTATAGTTAAAAAACGAAAATATAAATATATAAAAGAATAACTACCCATTCAAATTGGGTGGGAGTAGTTTCAAGTTGGGGTTTTTAAATTATTTTAAAATAAAAAAGCAAAAAATAAATAAATTTAGCTATAAAAAAATGAAAAAGAGAGAAGAAAAACTACCCATTCAAATCGTGGAGTAGTTTCAAGTTAGAGTTTTAAAATAATTTTAACATCCAAAATAAAATTAAAAAAAATAATAAATTACCAATTCAAATTGGGGAGTAGTTTCAAGTTGGAGTTTTAAAATTATTTTAAAATAAAAAAACGAAAATAAAGAAATAAAAAAACTTTCAGAGAAAAATATAAATAAAGTAATATGCTAATAAAACTTTCTATTAACAATGTAATAATATTAAATATTAGATGATATAATAAAGAAAAATACGTAACAAAAAACTTATTCGATGCACTGCCTGTATAAGTCCCGTTAGTTTAACATAGATTTTATTTATTAAAATTTAAATAATATTATTAAGAACAACAGAATAAAATTTAAAATAAAAAATATTTCAACAGTAATAAATTATATATCTTCTCATATATTTTAAAAAGAAAGCGAATACTAAATATTTGCTAAATATAATAAAGAAAAATACAGAATAAAAAAGTTATTCACTGACTATATAAGTACTTGATTTAATAGAGATTTCATTATTGAGTATATCCTATTGACAAACAAGATGACAAATGAATTTTATTAAAGCAATACGATCTAATAGGATCAAACAAGACCGATCATAATTTAATTTAATTTATATTTTTTTTTAATATTGACCGCGCATCGCGCGGGTACGACTACTAGTCTATAATTAAAAGCAGAAGAAAAAAGCCTCTCATGAAGCCAAGTGGCATAATCCCAATATGACACTTGGCACTTTAAGACATTGCTCCAAATTATTAGGAAGTAGAATTAGGAACTACAATTTTATTTGGATTAGGATTGTAGTTCAAAATTCCATATCTATTAGGATTGCACTGTATTTCAAAATTCCCCGTTATTTGGAATATGTGAAAAACCGTTCAAAATTCCCTTCATGTTTCTGAATTTTTAATTTTTTTTAATTATTAAATGATTTTATATGTGAAAACTCTTTACTCCACAATATTAGGTAAAAATTTTTTACCTTCAACTTACCCTAAATTCTCTCTGCAAAATCACGATAGCCTCAACTGTCTAACCCACGATTGACTATACTGGGTAGCAACTGCTCAAAACTGCAAATATATATTTCTTCCACAACTACACATACTTCAATTCTAATCTTCCTACTTCTATCAAGATTTCAAGAAAACTTACGGCTTATGCAAAAGATGGCTACTCACATTGATTTCATCAACGATATAACAATTTCGAAGATGCAATGGAAGCTGAAAGTCCGTGTTGTCCGTCTATGGCGAGTACCAGATCGTTATAATTCAGACACCACATTCACGATTGAGTTGGTTCTACAAGATGAAAAGGTATTCCAAATATGCTATTTCCTTGCTAATTCACGTTTCTCTCTGTTTATGCTACGCTGTTGATTTTCGCTAGCATTTGCAGGTTTTTTTTTGTCGCTAGCATTAAATCCTTCAGGAAGTTAGTTTTTTTTTTCTTTGTATTATCCTTCAGCAATTGTACTGCAATTTGTGAATTCTTACTTGATGGCTATTTCCTAACAGTCATTTATACAACCACTTTAAATTTGTTCAATTCTACTATTAAAAAGTAGCATTAATATTCTGTTACTCCCAATTTAATTTTGTCTTCAGCAGCATTTGCTACATCCTTTATTTGTTTTTCCAGATGTGTCATTGCTGCAGAATCATTGATTTGCACGTTCTTGACAAATGCTTCCAGCGTACTAACTTTAGTAACCAAACAGTTTATGTAACCAGTTTAAATTTGTTCAATTCTACTATTGAAAAGTAGTATTAATATAAATTCAACCATTCAAGTATATACTTTATAAGTTAGATTACTATACAAATTTTTAATCTTTGTTACTTAATGTAATTTTTTGTAGGGCGATCGGATACATGCTTCTATTGGAAAGTCTGTTTTGCCTCTTTTCAAAACAAAAATTAATGAGCTTGGTTTATATCTTATGGCGAACTTTATCGTTTATCAAAATAAGGAGAAGTTCAACACCACGAAACATAGGTTGAGGCTAACATTTACTCAACGAACAACTGTGACTGAAACAACTGATCCATTTTTCCTTATGAATATCTTTGATCTACGACCATATGATCAATTGATAAATAAGGTTAATGTGAACGAGACTGAATTATTCGGTAATAATAACTTTTACCTTAAATTTCTAATTATGAACTTTTCTGCAATTTCTTTTAACATCTTCTTTTTCTTTAGATGTGATCGGAGAAATCATCAGTTTTAGTGAGGTGAAAACGCTCAAACAAGACGGAATTTCTAGGAAGTTTATGGATATCAAACTAGAAGATGATGAGTAAGAATAATAGTCATCTATTGATTTGAAGATGGATTTGATTAGTACATTTGCTTACAATTATATATCTATTCCTATTTGGCAGGAAGAAGATTCTTTCTGCTACATTCTGGGGCGAATTTGTTGATGAAATTGTACCTCACCTGCTAAGTTCTAACAACCAGCCTTATTGTTGTTATGCAACTCATAAAAGCCCATAAATTTCAAGGTAAAATGCAATTATTCAATTTGACATTAATTTATGAAAGTTATTCATCTTAAACGTATGTTGTTTTGCAGATTCTTATTCTGTGCGAAATACTTGGAATGCATCAAACCTTTGGATTAATCCAAATTTTCCTCAAGCTGACGAGTTTAAAACACGGTTCAATAGATATTTTTTTTTCATTGCATATATATCCGGGAATATATTTTTCAAGTATACATCTAACTGTTTTACTCATTTATAAATATAGATTGCTTTCTATTCGGGATAATTACACTGAGAGGCTGACTCAAACCATTTGTCAACAAAGTTATTCTGTCTCGGATGAGTTAGAGAAGGGCATTGTACAAGTTAAAACAATTGGCCAATTAGTGGAGTCCATGCAAGTGAGTAAGCTATTTTGTGTAGTGTCAACTCAATCGGTCTTTAATGTTAATAGTTGTTCTATGCATAGCTTTTACAATGTATCATGTAATTCGTTGTGTGATAAAATTAAATAAAGAAGCATAAACATTTAAGTGTTATGTTAATTTTGTTGCTTTGATATTATTAAAGAACATCTTTTACAAGTAATAATACAGTCCAAACGGGGAAAGTTCTCCTTTTTAAATAAATTTGCAGCTTATTGGTATTTCCCATGTTTTAAGTAAGAGTTGTTGTTTGTTTTTTAACTTTTTGATTTTCACATATTCTAAAGGGGTAGCTTTACCATGTAAATGGAGCGACATAAATAGGTTTAAACTTAAATAAATAGTTATGCTATTTCCGGTAATATAAAAGTGCCTTAAGTACGCTATTGAGGTCTCAAGGAGATCTGGAAATGGTTGTTTTGTTTTTTCTGGTGAGATTAATCACAGAAGCAGCTCTTGACCCCTCTTAATCAGGTGCCTTTTACCCAAAATATGTTTGCTCCATGCTGCCATGATTTAGCATATACTGAAATTTCTCCTTAGATGTTAAAAGAACGACTTACATATGGCCAGCTATTAACATATGGCCATATATTGAATCAGTTCCTTTCATTCTATGAAGTATATACTTGAGTCCACTTGCAATATTGAATTACTATATCATATGGAAGTTATGTATAAGATCTATGATTTGAATAGTCCAATCTTTATAAATAGTTCTCTCTGCGAAATAGTTCATATCCTATCAATAGTTCATAAGGAAATAGTCAACAATATTTCTAGGCTTACAATTTTGTAACAGAAACACTATCGTTAAACACCAAATCTTATAGTCATGCAAATTAACCTATCTTTAATATATGTATAAGGAACTTATATGTAACATATGTTTCACCACAAATCCTTCTTCATATGTTCACCTCTCGGATGGCATTTTGGTTACTAATGAATGAAAAACGTGATATTTTAATGTAAAGTATGCCTAATTTATATCATTCATAATTTACACATACATGCTCTTTCTAAACTTCACCTAATAATGTTTGTCATTTTATTCAAAAGGAAGGTCCCTGTTGGATTGTTACAAGTATTAAATATTTAGAACATAGAAAAGGGTGGTCGTATGTTAGCTGTAAGAAGTGCCAAAAGAAGGTGAATAAAGTGGGAAACATTTATCTTTGCCCAAACCCAAAATGTAAAAAGGAAGATTATTCAGCAATGAATAGGTAATAACAGAACCTCTATTTCCTCCCTCCCTCAAAATTAATGTACATTTATAGCTCAAATGAAACGTGCTTTAGGTACAGGCTTCAGGTTAGGGTACTGGATACTACTGGATCTGTTTCGCTGCTGCTCTGGGACCGCGAAGCCATGTTTCTAATAGGCAAGTCCGCAAATAAATTGAAGGAATGATTACTTGAGGTATATCAACTAATTAAATTCATATTTGTTATTTCTGAAATTCTAACGCAAACTTTTTTCTAGAATACTGGTGATGCTGATGAGTATTCCTATCCAGTTGAGTTGAACAATATTCTTCAAAGAAAATTCATGTTTAAGGTTATTGTAAAGAGCTCGAACATTCGATCGCATGCTGAAATTTACAGTGTTGTCAAGCTTACAGATGATGAGCAACTGATAAACAAGTATGATCACGATGAACATCCAGATGCCTTACCTGTATGTAATCTTCACTCACAAACTTCATAACATATCTAAATTGCGAATTTAATTAACGTCCCTATTTTGTAGTATAATTGCAAACTCATTTATTTATTAATGTTTGGTAGGACCCTGACTTCAATACTAATCAACGCATAGACGGAGAGAAGGAATGCGAGGTAAATATATTTATGACTTTTAATTTGTCCTTCAACATTAAAGATAAGCAAGAATATCTTTCTACATATATTTTCCGATCTGGAGTATTTTTTTAAACTTTAAAGGTTTTGAATGTTCATTTTGTTAATTCTATAGGGACGCGATGCACTCCCTATTAACATATTTTTAGCTTATTCATTCTTTTAATTAAAGTATTTGCAGGGTATAAATCAATAAACCTACATGACCTATAATTTAACTATTGATTTTCACAAATTTTGGTACTTTTTTAATATGCAGGAGTACACTGAAGATAACGAGTTACTTGATATTGCAAATACACCTACCAAGATTGGTATAACTAATGCCGCAATAGCGGTTGAAGAAGATCCAAATGCACAATTGTCAGGAAATAAAATCAAGAGAGTATTTAAGAAGAAGAAAACAACATAAGGCTTTTGCAATTGTAACTCTTAGAGAAACCAAGAACTATCTAATTAGTTACTTTAGTAGTCTTATTAGTTATGAACAGTATCATTTCAAGTGTTTTAGGCTATTTAACTTTTCCATTTTATTTAGGTTGCAAATTTCACTACTTATGTACAAGATATTTGAAGTTTTTAATGGTTCTTTCTGTTATTAGAGTTTTCCTATTCATATAGATAAGACAATCCATTTGTTCCAATGGTAATTATTTACAGCATAAGGCGTTTGCACCATGATAGGTTGAAGTATTATAGATTTTTTTTACACCTAATTTATAGCAATGGCAAGTCATTGTACTGAATAAACTTTTTGATACCTTAATCCTGTTAGTCATTTGAGAAGATTTTACTTTACTTAAAAGTGCACTTTACTGAATAAGTTGTTAAAGATAATTTAAAATCTAATATACTGAACAAATGCAACTATTTTAGGGAGCTTTTGTAAGTCATATTTGACTGGATAATATTGCAGAGAACACATATTAATCTTCTTTCTGTTAATTAAAATACACAGTTCTTATTGAGTTGAAGCCACATCTTAGCCAAACCTGAAGACATTATTGACATTAGTTCTGTTGTTGTATTCATCTCTTCGTCTTTTCCTTTGCTATGTTATCATCTGGAAGAGGAGCTCTTCTCATATTGATATTGATCAGACAAATATGATCCATTAGAAAAAAGCTCAAGATAATGTTTTTCTAGCCTCTTAACTCCTGCACCGGGGCGTAGGATTTCAGCGTCTCCCCAAACGCTACATTTATTAATTTTTCTATCACCTAAACACCATCAACATGCCACCGGTTCGTCGTGATTGTGGTGGAGAGTTGATGGTCAATCTGACCAAGAACCAGATCATCTACCTTAAATGGCGAAGCGAATGCTTCTCCACTCATCTATAGGTCATTGAAGTCATTCGAGTTTAATCGGCGAGCTTGTGATGTAGAGTGAGAAGCGAATGCATGGTTTTTAATTATTGCATCACGTAACCTCGATCTATTGAAATCTGTTAAAAAGATAGGAAATAATTTGTTTCTCCCTTTCTAAAAGCAGGAAACTTACGTTCTTGCTCAGTATATTACTACAGTATAGCAAGTGACAAAAGTTGGTGCCAAGTCTTAAGGAGCAATATAAATTAACTGATGAATACAAATATGGACTCTTTGGCTTTCCACAGCCATTTGAGTTAAGCTAATAAAGTTGGGTAAAACTATTTGCAATTGAAGTTGGAAAATAAATTATTCGACATACAAGTCCAGAGCACAACTTCTACTGTTTTCTTGACACTGGCGCCCCCCCCCCCCCCCCCC